ACGGAATATTCTGGTCTGACATACCGTGCAGATTGTAGGGGGAACCAAGAGTTGTAGGCGGCGGCGTGTGGGTGGTGGTGCGGTTGTGTGTGTTATGTGGTCTGTGGTGGCTGTGGTATGTTGTTGTGTTGTGGCGACTGTGTGTGGTTGCTGTGTGAGTGTGTGGGGCTGCACGGGCGGACTATGGGTTGCCGTGGAGGCTGCTCTATTTGAGCAACAGGGGGCCACGTACGACGTGGTCCACTGTCTGTGTGTCCGTAGTCCCGAGCAGACCCTGAGGTGACTCCACCCCTCGCAGGCATTACACTTGACTGAGGTGGAGTTGTGGTGTAAACGTCTCCGGCATACACAGCAGGTGTATATTTCTGGCCCAGGGTTTGACTCGATGCCAGCCCTGAGTAGGAGAATGCGTAGTGAATGTTGCCCTATGGACGGACAACTTCTGAGATACTTCGCCGACCTAAACGGGGTTAGATCGCCGAAACAACAGCCCTTGGTCGGGTGAAACCCGAGTCATTCCGGTACGTAGAATCGGCTGTCGTGGGAATGGCATTGTCTACTGCAGTGCTGCCAAGTTTTTAAGTTTTAATACACTAGTCGAGTCGAAAATTGAGGCAACGACATGAAATTTTCGATACGATTCGACTCACGAAAAACGACTTGCACTCGTCACGACTCTCGCAATGAGGCTGAATAAGTCTTTCAGCTTAGTAGTTTGGTCTTTTTTAAAAACGTTCACCAACCTAGCGGTTGGACTCAAGGTATAAATACCACTGAAGTATTATTAGAACGTAGGCCTTTTCGATGAACGTATTAGCTTCTTGTAATCCTTTTTTGTGCAGCGAGAGCAGTCCCTGTAAACCTCAGCATTTGTTTGAGGACCCGGAAATTACCACGGATCAATCCCCAACTTCTGCCGCTCCTTATTCGACCAGCAGACAGGAGTGCATCTGAGGAGTAGACGACGCCTTATCCAAACTTGTACCAAAGATAGCCGTTACATTAACCATCACTTCAACCATGCCCTGGGTTGTTAACATTTTAAGCTCCTCCCAATAACACAGCGTCCGTTTTTCTCAAAATTTGCATTGCCGCAAAGCAGAGGCATTTTCGCGAAATTGAAATTGAATATACTTGTGGTCTGAGACCTCCTAAGTATTCACTCAAACTTTATTTTACGAGTTTCGATCTTTCCAGTTTTATTTAAAGGAATCAGTTTCAAAAAGTCATATAAAATAAAAAATATATCCCCGGGGTCTTCCGAACATTGTCTTGTTCATTTGTAGCCAAATTATTAAAATTATTGTTTCATTAAGAAATCACATTTTTTCCTTCATTTTCAGTTGACTATGTGCTCGTACATAATTTCTCAAATGCATTCTATATGGTCTTGGCTGTTACTGTTTGGGTGAAGTCTTTGATTAATTTAGTAGTCGCTTCCATGCTTATGGATGGTATAAGAAAGGTAAGTGAAAATCAAAAATATTATTAATTTATTTTTGTTAATATTTTTCTCCAATACTCTCGAAATCAGCAACGTCTTGTTTGCATTGCTCCCTGGCTTATAAACACCAGCATTTCGATGGCTATTGAGATAGCCGTTTTCATTTTCATGGAAATCAAAATGAATGAATTCGAAGAAGAAATTGCATCGGATCGACGCATTGTGCACAGTGTCATTTTTGGTGTATTTATGGGTAAGTCACAAAAAAGGCGAAATGAAAGCATTTAAAATCTTTCTTTATTTAAATTATAATTGTTTTCCACCATTTAAATGACGCAGTTTTCAATGCGCTTTCGGTGTTCGGCATTTTTGCATTGTACAAAATGTTCAAGGCCACCGCCAACGAGAATCGTACGCTACAGGAGAGTATTGTGGAAGCAGCTGGACTCTATCAGCATGTTAAAGTTTAAGCATACTTATGTATGTAAATTTTGCCGCAATGGAGAGGCACCTTATCGTAAACAGATTGCAGCATTTAGTGGCATAGCAACACAGTAATTGGGTCATTGGCGTGATGTTGTTGAAAAATGCATTTATTGATAAAAAAAACGAAAATGTAAAAATCTTTAAAAATTCTCAAAGTGAATAAATAAAAGTGGTATTATGAGATAAAGTCAATGCAAATAAAGTTAACGTAAAGTGAGGAGAAAAAACTTGTCAGGTTAGATACCACATTTAGGAGCAGATGGAAGTGATAATGTTTGAAGATTACTTTAGTAAGGAATTTTTGGCTGGCATAAATGCACAACTAGGTATGTACATCGCCATCTTAGAGTGAAAGGCTACTTGTTTTATTTGCTAAGTCCAAAAGAAGCACACAAAATTCTCATTGTTTTAAACACTCAAAATGTTGCCTTCAAAAGTATTTCCAAATACTTGAAGAAAATGACTATAAGAAGTTTTTTTCCTCTACTTTAAAATTTCTAAAAATGGAGTTAGTACCTTTTTCTCAAACCCAGTATAACACACAAACTTTTATTCTCACTTATAAATGATTAAAAATCCTTTTTTGGCTCTTTTAAACCTACTGCTACTGAACTCACCTCAAATACAACAACGAACGCAAGTCGACAAGCGAGTATAATATAAAACATACTAGTTAAATTATATTTACGATCTGAGGTAGGTGGTTCACGATAGTCTGCATAGCTGNTGTCCAAGATGCGATACCAAACGCCAATATCACGCACACGCTGTGAAACTGGGCGCCTATAGTTTGCCAGCAACTTTTTCGCATCTAAACGCATTTCGAAAATGTTATTGAGTAAAGCAAAAAACGGTGCCAAGGGGAAGGCGGCTACGAACAAGGTAACAAAGCCATACTGTAGCACTATAAATGAAGGGTAAAAAAGACGTTGTGACTGTGAAAAAAACAAAATAACTGCTACACCTACCCATTTCCAAGTACTCCGGAAACAAGCTGCGCGGACCCCAGTCCAGTAATTTCAAATCACGCAAATAGCGCTCCACTTTTTCCTTATTCACATCATGAGTCGTGCTGCTAAACAGTCGTGAGAGACCCACTTGTATGGCCATAATTTTGCGCCATATCTTTGGCATTATCACTTCCAGTATGGAGTTAAAGGTTTGTTTGCCAATCATAATGATTGCCAGCTGAATGCAGAGTTCAGTCAAACAGCCGCCTGAAGAGCACTGGAAGGTGATAAAAATAAAATATAATTTGTTATTATACAAAGGAAGGGAAGGAAAGCGAAATTAAAGTGTCAAAAGCGTACCTCTTCCTGTCGATAGTCAAATATTTTGTTATATTGTCCTGGATGTCCCACAAATTTTCCCTTGAAAAACGCTATATAAAATATGGAAGCATAATAGTTGACAAACTGTAACAGATAAATCTTTAGTGTCAGTGAGTCATCGATTTGCGTGCGCCACATTTCCAATTCAGTCAGGTACTCAGCGAGTTGTGTATACATCTGATAAGTAAAATGGAAATAACTTTTTTTTTTTTTTTAATTTCCGGCAAACTTACGTAGTTCAACACATAGAGCAGACACAAGTTGACGAAAGCCGCTGACGCTGTAGCCAACATAATTGCGCTCGATGTAGTCATTGTACTAGAACCCAGTTTAAGCGTCGCCAGCATAGACATGCGGTATACAACTACCGCTACAAGCGCCACAAAAGCCAAAAATATCAATAGAAATACAACTGAAACACTAAAAATGGTGGCAGGAAATTTCATGCGCCAAAATGGCACTGTGGGTTCTTTAATATTCGTTACATAGTCGACGCGCGTGCGCGTATTTTTTAACTGTTCCAAACGTGTCAAGTACTCGGGACGTGGATGCTCTTCGTGTACATCGAAGCCAGTTAAATCCCAGCGATGCGTTATCTCAGCAGAATAACGTTTCCATAACTCCAAAAAGAGTGTAGCCCAAAAGGACATAAAGACGGCAAAGAACACAGTACTAGGATTATCAAAGAGGTAGGTAATTTTGGCATAAAAACATGTCTCCTTGAGGTACCAAAAATTGCACCAATCACATAGAGGACACATGGTAAGATTTTTAGTACGTTCGTTGGCACAAACATCTTGGCTGCAAGTGAAAATAATAAAAAAAAAATATTTATATAATGTGAGTGTTGTTTTTGCAGTGAATATGGTAAACATACACTGGCACATAATCTTTTAAAGTTATCAATGAGTATACAAAGCAGATGACACCAATCAGCGAGGCAAGCAGCAGCATGTAAGTGTAGTAGCCCAACCAAGCAAAGTACAAACCTGTAAGGAATAATAAAGGAATTTAGCTATGGTTTAATTCATAAGAAAAAGAGCCATTTTTAAGTTGCTCAATTACCAATTTTTACGCCAAAGTACTCTTTGACATAGTCGAGCGGCTGATAGCGATACCATTTGTTGACGGAGGCCCAGTGAGTGTACAGTGCCTCACGCATAGTACCCTTCTCTGTGATTTCGCCCTAAAACATAAAGCAATAGATTTGAAATTGTACAGCTATTTTTTATGAAGTTAGCGCATTTTGCAAAGTCTTAAAGTTTGTATGATTATAGCGGTTTCTAAGTGAAATCTTGAAATTTTTATGGAATAAAGAAAAATATTTTGAAATAACTATGTAAATCTTAAATTTTTCAAGTCATCGTATTAAGTTTTCTTGTAGAAGTGGCATCGAACTGATACTGTATTGAAAATAAATTCCGAAAGTAGCGGCTCATGGATTCAGCTAATGATGACGATGATATAACCAATTATACGCATTCTATTATAGCAATTAATCGAAAATAAAATCACAAAATTTTACTTACATCGTGCAACGGATAAGCTGCGCAATAAATATTTGATTCCACTAAACGATCAATGCCAAATGCACGCGGATCCTTGCTGCGCTCCTCGAAGTATTGGCGATCCAATATGAACTGAACTATACGTGAACGCACTGCATTGGTGAAGAAGCAACGATGATGGATGTCGAATCTGAAATCAAAAACATATTTATGTAAATCATGGACACTTTTCAACAAACAAGTATCCAAACTATTTAAGACTCACAAATATTCCTTATCACGACTATAGATGGCTGTGAAACGATGGGCGCGACGCGGAAATATACCTTCATCCACAAATATGTGACGCAGGAAAAATTGTACAACACTTTTGAGACTAGAAAACATGCTTCTGGTCGAGCGATTCACTGCAGACATGCCTGGTATCTAAAATGACAAGCGAAGATTTAGTTTATTGTTATTAATAAGCGCCAAAGATTAGTATAACGATTTTATATGGAAATAAAGCAGCAAAGGCCAAACACAGTTAAACGATATTGAAATATTCCAATGGGTATGTAAGAAATAAATAATTAAATAATTGCAACATTAGGTGCCTATGGCGTTTATAGTATACAGCTGAAATACAGTTGACAACAGCAGAGCAGCCGGCAAAGTTTTCGCAACCGAATATTTACATGAACTAAAGCGCTAAAGTGAGCAGAAGCGAATGAGAGATTTGGAAGTATATTGCCAATAGTAAGCAGCGATATTTTTATTTTATTTCTTTTATATTAATTAAATAAATGCAAATATTTTGTGTTGGCATGTTGTATGTAAGTTATTCAGACCTTTCGTGATAGATACTGCGCTGCATGATGCAAACGACTGTATTTGCTGTAAACTGTGGTACTACAAAGATCCTGCAATAGTAGTGCATTAAATAGAAATTAAATTTTGAGTGGAAAGACATACAAAGTAAATTTGTTGCAATGCTTAATAGCTAAGTAACAGGGGATGTAAATTAATATTCAAAAAAAATCTATCTAACATCTGTGGGGTTCTAATACATTGGCATACTACAAAATGAAATTTTTAAGGGTTTAAACTTTTTGTTTTTACCTACATAATAAGGAAAAACAAAGTCTACATAATATTGCTGAAAACAAAAAAAGAAAATTTGTCATTTAATTTAGCAGTAATCAAGAAATTGGATGCAATTTCAACCTTAATCAGTTAAAATAGAAAATATGAAAAAATTTAAATCAATTCATTTTTAATCGGAAAGCGGATTTTTTATTTAAAAATTTTAAATAATTATGTACATACATATATATGTATGTAAAATTAAATTTATAATAATAAATATTATGGAGTAAAAACTTTTTTAGAACACAGTGTGAACTAAAAACTTTATGTGTTATCCTTGAAGCTATCTTATCTTAATACGAATTATTAAATACGATCTATATAACTACATACACCTAAATATATATATGTACACATATACTTAGACATGGAGAGTGATTACGCTGCCTCAAACGGAAAGTGAGTATAAGTAGTATTTGTACAGGGTCTGCGTGGATTTAGCATTTCGATGCCTTAGTTTTTTTTGTCCGGAAAAGATATTAGGTTAGATGAAAAATAGTATTGTATTCCTAAATTATCTGCATACGCAGCACAATTCTTGCATACGAATATGAGTTCTATGTATGGCTTTTTAGCGCTCATATATTGTTTATAAACACTATAAAACAGTTTTATAGTTTTTAGGGCCTCAAGCAAAGTGGGTGAACGTTTCACAAATTAAGCTCTTGCATGTGATTTAAGTATAAACTAATATCATACATACATAATTACATTATTGTCTTCCCACGCCAGCCTGTTCCACGTATCGGATCGATTCAGCTTTTCGGCAATGTACTTTTGGTTTGGTAGTCTAGCCCTATTTAATCGGCGAACCCTTCCAATAGTTGTTCGCTATTGAAACAACACACCACCGTAAAATTGCTGCGTACTCTTCTCATTCGGACTGGCATAGAGTCGAGCATCGAAACAGAAACCCATTTCTGCTGTTTTTGCCAGAGAATACTTACATCAGTGGTAAGAGCACCTTAAGGCCTGTAGCTTTACTTTCAGTGTGAGTAAGCTTTAATAAATCGCATGGTCCATCTCCATGCGCGATAACAGTGTGCATATTTCATTCGGTAATCGTGCCTCATCCGACACGAAGTGAGCTTTAGCCGGCATTCTTCGGTGGACAACGTTAAGCACCGAGTTATCAAAAGGCTTCAAACACTTAGGTTAAACGCATAATGGATCGGCGAGCAAAGCGATGAGCATAGCATCGAGCAAAGCGTCAATCAATAACGTATGTAAGCTTTGCTCTTCACTATGTGCGCTCCATTGAAACAAAAATGTTTGAAATCGACGTTACAAGAAAAGTCCATGAAACCAAAAACCAAAATTTGTTTGTTGGAGCTAGCCCGCAAAGTATTAATTTTTTTTCGGCCGTTCATATTTGATTCAAGTTTTTTGAGGGTTGAATATAATGGTTATATAATGGCTCGTAGGCCATTATGTCAGCTTTCGAACCCATATTTGTCCATCGTACACNTCGGCCGTTCATATTTGATTCAAGTTTTTTGAGGGTTGAATATAATGGTTATATAATGGCACAATTTTTCCCTCGTAGGCCATTATGTCAGCTTTCGAACCCATATTTGTCCATCGTACACAAAATTTTGCATTATTATTGCCTTCTATCAGTATTTTTGCGAAGGGGGCAATGAGAAGGGAAAATTTTTCGATCGAAAAGAAAACGACATAACCATCTCTTCACATTCGCCATAAAACCCACTCAACTAACACTTCTCTCGCTTTTGTCCGGGCCCGCCGTAACAGCACGTTTGCTGCGCCCTTTCTTTGATAAAAAAATAAATAAAAAATAAAAATCTCACTATAGACTCTAAAGACAAGAATCATTTTCAAAGTCAATCTAATTATAAAAAAATTAAGAGGTGGAACAATACTCCTTTGAAGTTTGACAGCCGCGCATGGATACTAACGTTTTGGGCATTATTTGGTTGAGGTCCTAAAATGTATGTCACTATTTTGGTAGTATGATGCTACCGTAACTGCTATTTTCTACACAAGAACAACAAAGTAAAA